CCCCCCCCCCCCGTGGCTGCACCTCTGAGGGTCATACTTTAGTCATGCGATATTATTGCGTTTCTTTCAATTGTATATTTCGCGTGGAAAACATACATGGACGAGGGAAATGGAAAGGCAATGCTGACTAGAAATGAAATCAGATTATGTGGTCAATATTTTAAAATATCTTAAACTTTATCATCTGTCATCAAAGATTATATATTATAGCCATGCATGTATAATATGGATTCTATAATAGCTGCTGATCTATTATTTAGTATTTACTATGTTTTAAACGACTTAAAAGTAGCTGCCGTCGCTTGAAATGTCGATGTTTGGTCTTGTTGTTCAAGTATAGTCCATCACACACACACAAGCCCTCAAATTAAAACCATAAAGGCTTTGGTCAAACATACCTGCATGGCAAGCATACAAACCCGCGCATCCAACAATTTCCAATAATGTTTCTTTCAACTTCAAAAATGAAGCTTTTAGGCCACGTTTGTATACACTGTACCCGGATAGCTTTACGTAGCGACGCGAAAAACACTTATCCGTACCTTTTAGGAACGCTATTTTCAGAGGAATTATTGCAACGGAGAGATATTGTTTCGCTCAGCTTCTGAAAGTTGTACATTCTGTATCGGTTAGGTGCTTTTTCGCGCCGCTACGGAAACCTATCCGGTATAGTGGAAACGTAGAGGTGGGAACGTAGCTTAAAACACTAGGAATCATTTGGTTTGTTTACGTATATACAATGCACGTTGGCCAGTTTTCAAATAGTGCAAATAGCGCCCAACAAACAACGTTGAGTGCCTGGTTAAAAAAGAAGTGCCTAATTTTGAAGTGAAAGATAAAATGCGATAAACCATAGCTAAATTACACCTGAACAACGGGCGAGACGAAGAACGCTTCGCCCGATTTTCAGGTGTGCCGCATCGCGGATAGATCGTCTGCCTGCTTGCAGGCTAGAGTTGGGTAGCCACAATCTGAATTTCAATATCTATTTCAGCATTGCGGTGGAAGACGTCATGACAAATTGTGAAATTCATACATGGAGGTACGATTTTACTCTTTATTCTGTATATAGAGATACACGATATACAATACCACAAAAATGTTAGACTATTTTTGTTCAGTACGTATGTTATTTCCCAAGCCACTTCAGTGGATTTCTCGGAAAAATTTATGTATATCTATTTTGACTAAATAGAATTAGCGCAAAATATCTTGGCTGATAGACAGCGGCAAGCCGAAGATGCGCAACGGTTGAAAATTGCATTGCCATCGTACAAGGTGGCTACACCTGTCTCTTCTGTGGTAATGCATGATTTATGACTCATTTATAATTCATTTCATCAGAAGAAACCTTGACCACACCCACTGACCACACCTCCCAATTCTCGGCTATCGTGGCCTCAAAATGAAATGGTTTGAAATTTCGGCAACGGTTGCAACGATTGGCGTTGCCATCGTAGAGCATTATCTACACAAGCAATTTCTCTCGCAACCGACCAATGTCAAGATTTTACCGCCATTGCATTGCGATCGCCAGAAAATATTGCCCATGTATCCGGGTAGCTTGAATTTAAATGATCGTAATGTTGCTGTTCAGAATTGCGCTAAATTTCTGCACCAATATGGCGGCCAAACTTTCAAAATACTGCGGTTGTTGTGCTTTTTCTTATCACGTTTATGCAAATGCATGTTCCAGGGTCCTCAAGAGATCAAAATTAGAATTTTGAATTGCTCGTTAGAAAAGTGTTCGGAAGAGCTATATATAGAGAGGAAAAGAAGCGACCACTTTGAAAATTTGTTTGACTTCTAATAATTTAGAGAACGCACATGCAAGTATAATAGCGGAACCTTTAGCTACCAGGTCCCTAAAGGCAATTTTCCATTGCAGTCGCTTTGCCCGCGCGGACGAAGCGGGCTTTGAAAAACGCTTCGTCCGCGCGGGCAAAGCGAACGTATTAACGTTCCTTTATGAGTTGGCGCGGGAGGGAGTCTTGATAGGTCGGATAGGGAAGTTTCGTTCAGAATTTTAAAGAAATTGCTGACTTTTGGCGGTCCTTTTGTAAAGCATATACAGAATGCAAATATCATGTTTTCATATAAAAGTTTTATTAAGCCTAAATTGGTATAGACTATTGCCATCGGGGTCGGCTATTTTGCGAGCTGCGAGTTGCGAGTTGCGAGTCGCTAGCCTCGCTTTGAATTAGGCTTTGAAAGTATATTAATATGGACGACATGGAAGGCAAAGTTGAAGGGTTTTTTGTTTCATAAATATTAATGACCTTCGAAGTTAAGGTCCCTGTAACTAAGACTTCGACACAAAAGAAAATGCTACGATACGGACGAGATAAAAATCGGCCTTTACTTGTTTTTTTACTTTGTTAGATCCGTCGATACGTATGTTCAAGAATTAAAATAATTATATTGAAAATAAAAGTGCAAGTTTATATTTGCCGTTTCTGTGTTTAATAAAATCTAGTAGTTATCCAGACCATTTTGTGCTTTCTAATCTTAAAATGGTTATTTAATTTTATTAGTAAGTATGACCAGACACCGACTCAGTTTGTTTATATATACTGAACGCTGGGAACCCTATAAAACTATAAAAGTCCTTTTTATCGGAAGTACAATTTATTTTATACAATTTATACATAGACATACATATATACATATACATACATAAACTTTATCTAAACACGGGAAAAAACCATCAGTATATCAAAACGATTGCTATTTACAAGTTTGTAAGTATAAAAATAAATGCAATGAATGTTTATTTCAAAAGCTGAAAATTGGCGCCAAATTGAGACAAAGCTAAAATCACATCCGCCAGGATGCCATACAGTTTTCAATTTGAATTTTTAGTGTAAACCACAGGTGTAAACACCTGGTTCGGTGCTTCAAAGCTAGGTTAGTGTAACCCTGGGTTAAAATTAAACCCGATGTTATTAGAAATTAACAATATACTCGTAACTCGCAACTCGCACTCGCAACTCGCAACTCGCAGCTCGCACTATAGATAATCTCATTGCATGCCATCTGTGCAAAAAGCCATTAACTTTGTGATGATTTTTTTTGTGTCATGCTTTGGGTGTAAAATCAATCATTTATCCAATGATTCTATACCGATAGAACACTTTTATGAAATATCTTGATAAAAAGTCCACATGAAATTTTGTAGTCTCACTGTAAGTTGTTAAGACACGAAACAATTAATGCGCGCCTATAACAATTTTGTTTTAAATGTGATCCGTAGCTACTCTACTAGTTCATTAATTTTGAACAGCACTTTCGGCACGCATGGCGTCAGTAAAACAAACGGATTCCTTAATGTGTCAAAGCTGTGAACATCTGCAGGTCTTTGCAAGGCAAATATGCTGCTCTATAAAAGCCAGGCTGAAAACTCAACATTTCATTCTGCTCAAAAGTGAACAGTAAAATTAACATTCTGCTAAATACAAAGTTGGTGTTGAAGAGTTGAAGAAGCGCGTGAGACGTGTTCGAGAAACTGAACTCCTGCAAAAGTCATGAAGAATTTCTTGGTCGTCTTGCTTATGTTATCTACCATGACCCTGTGCTTGGCGAAGCCGAAATGGATATGGCTCCGTGAGGAAGAGAAGAATGGTGTGGATTTCAACGATGAAGTCTTTACAAGAGAAAAAGGAAAGGAGAATCTGATGAAAGAATGGAAGAAAACTTATGATGGTACACAACGCCCGTGCAGATTTACAACGGCAGGCTGCGTGAAGAGAAAGAGACAAATGTCTAGGAATTAATATCTTCCAGCATATGTAAACTATTCATGATATTGATAATAAACGTATGAATCGATGAATTTTTCTCTGAATATGTTATTTCTCATCTCTCTTTGTTCATTAGAAGAAACGAATTAACGGTTACTTGCTATGTACCATAGACATCTTATATACACTAGATATAGCGCATCTCTTTTAGTAAAATTGAAGCCAAGAATATTCCAGCGATTACCCCAATTTGAATAGATGGCGGCCTAGCCTGCGAACAGGCCCTGGGTTGCGGGCGGCGCGAAGAATAGAGGGCCTGCACGGAACTATAGGTTTTCTTGGTAGTGGCGTTCGTATAGAAACGCAGGCTTCTGATTGGCTTACACTCGTTGACAAAATTACTAAAAATAGCAAATGTCAACAACAGCATTTTGAAGAATTTGAACTTTGTTCATTTTAATATTATATATTATAAGACTATCGAACAAATAAAACTAGAAATGGAAACCAAAAGCAATAGCAAAGCATCACAGCAAAAAGTCTATCATAAATGACTTGAATCTATCGCTTAAATCCAATATACGAAACTATAACAGTATTCTGCCTATTCTGAACTTCGTCTTCGGATTGACATCAGACTATAGTATAGTACATTTTGAGGTCGTCGTGGCTTCACGGATTATTCTCATTAGTGAGCAAGTCAGCAAGCGAAGGTATACAAAAGATACCCAAATATGTACGAATAATTATATTGTTGATCCTCGCTGGCATGTCATTTAGATAAATATATATCGTACATTAAACGTTGTACTATTTACTGTATAAACTGCTGACAATTTCGTCGTCGATACGGCTTCCACTATTGGCACACTCGTGATTTCGAAGAAATTAATAAATACATGCTCGTTTATCATTTATTTAGACCACAGTTAGTAAAATTTTAGACGTATTTGGTATTCCAAATCCCAATCTATCTGACCGTATTTTAATAGCTTCAAATATTCAGAACATTGTTCTTTCAGTCGCACATAGTATAAGTATTACTGTACATTGATTCAATGCCAATGGTAGTATTTTATTCGGCTTTATATTTGTATGTGTATTGATATCTATTTAATATTTGAAGAATTCTATATTTTCCGAGTAATATTTTGTGCGGCCCGCTAATGCTTTGTATTATTGTTCATATATACATTATGTATACATTTTAATATTCAGTATTTCTTCGTTGCACAATGTACACGCCTTGCGTCAATTTGACAGTTGACAGTTTATTTATCGCAGTCGACGCTGATTGGTTCGCGTTTAGCAGATGCGAAAAGAGGATGATTGAATAAAACGCATGGTTCCGTGCAGGCTCACCTTTCTCCCAGTGAGCCTGTTCGCAGGCTAGCAATGCGTAAGCGGCATGGCTCATCCTGTAGAGCGCTCAATATGACCTATATATATATATATATATATATATATATATATATATATATATATATATATATATATATATATATATATATATATATATATATATATATATATATATATATATATATATATATATATATATATATATATATATATATCTAAATATATATATCAAAAAATAAAAAGTTCCTTCTGGTTGAAGGTAATCAAGCTAAAAGGATAATTGAACTATTTTTCCCCGAGCCGACGGCGCGAAGCGCCGTGCGAGGGTACTAATTCCCCCCGGCTATTTACACCCGGGGAAGGGAAGCATTAGCGAAGTCTAAAGTTCATCAAATATCGCGGGCGTGGGTCACTGTGCGTGTTTCGGTGGTGGTCATCCTCACTGATCTCATAATATAGCTGACTGTAATGAATAGCCAACACTGATTGGTCCAATTTAAAATTGGCATTATAACGGCTGCATGACGATTGACGACAGCGAAATTGATTTGATGATTTCTTGCAAATATATTTCATTTTTGCAAGATTTTGTAAATTGCAAAGGATTTTTGATGCAAAAAGGCAAGAGGATTGCTAAGAGAAGGAAGTAAAGGTGCCGACGTTAACGAAGGTAAGTTTGTTTTAAATATTGATGCATTGTTTGCTTTTAATATACTGTAATCTCGGCTGCAATTACTTTAAAAGCCGATCGTTGCGTATATAAAATATGAAACAAGACAGCGTATTATTTCAGTGTTTCTTTATTGATTACACTTTTTATTATACTAAGCAAAGTTATTTACATGGGAGAATTTGGAATCATTTTATTTCGAACTCAAAGTTTATCGATAAAGGCAGTTTAGTTCTATATTAAAATAACACTTTCAAACGTTTTGCGAAGGGTTTGTGGTTGAATTTTACCTTAAATTGAAGCTTATATTACGTATAATAACGTAATCTCGGCTGTAATTACTTTAAAAGCTGATCGTTGCGTATATAAAATATGAAACAAGACAGCGTATTATTTCAGTGTTTCTTTATTGATTACACTTTTTATTATACTAAGCAAAGTTATTTACATGGGAGAATTTGGAATCATTTTATTTCGAACTCAAAGTTTATCGATAAAGGCAGTTTAGTTCTATAGTAAAAGGACGTTTTGCGAAGCGTTTGTGGTTGAATTTTACCTTAAATTCAAGCTTATATTACGTATAATAACATACCTAACATATATATGTTTAGGAATTTGATAATTTTGTAATTAAAAGTGATATTTATAGGGGATTTTTCATTTGTAAAAATATTCTTAAAAAATTATCGTGTTACCATGACAACTACTTAAAATACTTCACGTTCGGAAAATAAAATGGTTTTGTCAGCAAGGCGAGGGTTTCTGCATGCATGTATTTTCTAGTCTTAAGTAATTATTTCTTATCAAGCAATATTTCAAGAAAAAAATCTCGTTTTGAGAACAGGGCAAGAATTGGAATATTCGAGAAATTTTTTTCTTATTTTAAGAATAACATTTTTCCAACCTAGAATAATATTCTTATAATCAGAAAAAAATTTGAAATGAAGTTTAATACTACTTCAAGTCCTTTGTAAAATCGCATAGTAAAGCTAGGGAGCGCTTTTTGATGTATCTATTTTAGAATTAGACAAGTGCCACGCGCGCAATGGGTTGTGGGATATCGCGTATCAAGTGTCGAGTGTGATTTGCAAATTTTCGATTTTTTCGTTTGGATATATTTCGCTCAAGAAAAGCTATATTTCGCTGAAGAAAAGCTATATTTCGATTCGATATGTGACTCTAAGTCCTGTTAAAGGCTTATTGATCTCAGGTATGTATTATTACTCTTTATATCACTATTATCACTTAATTATAACGTCTTTGTGGATTGTGGCTGTACTAGCCTGAACATGTGCAGGGTTTTCATTAATTTTCTGTACAACCGGCTAATTGTAAATGATAGGCGTCCGAGCACCGAAGGTGCGAGATTCCTATGGTGGTCCTGGGGCATGCCCCCCTGAAAATTTTGAAATCTAAAGTCTCTGAAATGCCATTTCCTGCGTTCTGGCGAAAATTCTCGTAGAATTGCAATGGTCAGAAAACAAACTTTTTTGTCTAAAAAGTTACAGTTTCTTGTTTAGAAATTAGCAGGTTTCTACATGAAGAACAAAAGTAGAGATTTTCTGAGGGTGCGAAAGGCTATTTTCGGTAGAAACGCTGCTTGTAAATACAATGGATAAAGATGCAACATTGTAGATTTCGTCTTATGTAATGATAGAAAAAAAACCAATTTGATGAAAAGTGTTTAATGTAAATTTAACTTTTGACAATGTTTATAATTCTTTTCTGAACTAAAATTTGAATTAATCTGAATAACAAGTTAATCTGAATCTGAACTATCGTAATCACTATCAGTACTGTCCTCGACGTCACTGTCGGTGTCGTATTCTTCCAGATCTACTGCTGATAATTTAAATAAGTTGACAGCAGCATCCACCTCTTCCTCAGTCCCCATCATTCCAGCGTTGTCTTCAAACTCTTCTTGTTCACATAACGATTCATCTTCCATTTCCTGATCATGAACATTGACAGTGTCAGAAGAACCAACCTGTATGGACACATACATCTACACAATGTGCCCTCCCTTCTGCGTTAGATGGTCGTTTATTTGCAATGGACATCTTTCGCCTTGGTTTTGCGAGCCACTGCTTCAGAGTAGAATCGATTAATGCTGTTGAATCTTTTACTTCTGGACCGTTGATGGAAATATGGAGTAGCGATTTATAACATGGGCAGAATTAATATATAACCTTAATTTATAACATTAAACAGAATTTATAATTATATGCATTTTATCACTGACCCGTGACAAGAAAACATTGACCCGTGACGATTATTTAATATTAAAAACAATAGGTAATAATGTACACTACCTGTGTTGTCCATTCTTCTCTGCTTGTGAGTGAAAAATGCATCAAAAGCTGATGTCTGAAAGCCTGTTGAATTTCCTCTGCCACGCTTTTTACCACTGAGCTTTTTACTCGCCATGTTTTCAATTTTCACCCGCCATGTTTGTTGGGCCTTAATGCAAATATTTTACGAAGTATTGCATAAGATAGATCGGCGACCGCTGATCGTTCAAATTCGAGTTGCGAGAAAATGGCAAGAGAAATTTCAAAACAATGTGAAATATTTATACGACATAAACTCGTGAGTTATGAACCTATTTTATAAGTTTACTATGGAAAACGAAAACACTAATACCTAACTTGTCATTTTAAATAATTATACATATGCTTGATAGACTGACAATACTTAAATTATTTTTTATTAAAAGTTTTATACGTGGCTCAGAAAAATTTACCAGACACAAAAAAATAGCCGGCGGTCTTAGGCCAAACAGGCGGCGGTAAACCGCCGGTAACCGCCTATTAATGAAAACCCTGAATGTGGCTGTTAAAATTTGAATTTGCGCGCGCGAGATTTTATATATTGAAATTATTTCATTTCAATGCCGCCAAATAAAACCAACAATTCAAATTTTGAATAAGCACATTATAATTATTAAATACTGGGTTGCACTTGTTTGACAAAACTCGAGAAAGCATCTTTGAACCCGCACAGTATTATTTTTATAGAAACAATATGTGAAAATATGTGAATATGAATATAAATATGGGTTTGCTACAAGCCTATTTAAGCCTCTCCCCTGGATTTTCAAGGACTTTCAAGTCATTGAGTGCCAAGCTCTCTCCCCTTGGCAAGTAAAACCAGCTACGCATTAACTCTGCCTAGGGTCACTGGCCGGGTTAGACAGAGTAAAAGTAGTGGTGTTTACACTACAAACCTTGGCCTAGCCTTGGCGAGGCACTATTTTTTGAGACAGGCTAACTTTGGTCAAGTTGTCCGCTAGCCTGCGAACAGGCTCACTGGGAGAAAGGTGAGCCTGCACGGAACCATGCGTTTTATTCAATCATCCCCTTTTCGCATCTGCTAAACGCGAACCAATCAGCGTCGACTGCGATAAATAAACTGTCAACTGTCAAATTGACGCAAGGTGTGTGCATTGTGCAACGAAGAAATACTCATGAATATTAAAATGTATACATAATGTATATATGAACAATAATACAAAGCATTAGCAGGCCGCACAATATATTATTCGGAAAAATATAGAATTCTTCAAATATTAAATAGATATCAATACACATACAAATATAAAGCCGAATAAAATACTACCATTGGCATTGAATCAATGTACAGTAATACTTGTACTATGTGCGACTGAAAGAACAATGTTCTGAATATTTGAAGCTATTACTAAAATACGGTCAGATAGATTGGGATTTGGAATACCGAATACGTCTAAAATTTTACTAACTGTGGTCTAAATAAATGATAAATGAGCATGTATTTATTAATTTCTTCGAAATCACGAGTGTGCCAATAGTGGAAGCATAGTGGTCGAAGCCGTACCGACGACGAAATTGTCAGCAGTTTATACAGTAAATAGTACACAGTGTTTAATGTACGATATATATTTATATCTAAATGACATGCCAGCGAGGATCAACAATATAATTATTCGTACATATTCGGATATCTTTTGTATACCTTCGCTTGCTGACTTGCTCACTAATGAGAACAATCCGTGAAGCCACGACGACCTCAAAATGTACTATACTATAGTCTGATGTCAATCCGAAGACGAAGTTCAGAATACTGTAATAGTTTCGTATATTGGATTTAAGCGATAGATTCAAGTCATTTATGATAGACTTTTTGCTGTGATGCTTTGCTATTGCTTTTGGTTTCCATTTCTAGTTTTATTTGTTCTGTTGGGGATTGCCTCCAAGTATCGCCCAAAATAAATCACAATAAAACACAGTATAATATCTATTACAAAATCACAAGTTTCACAGTTTCACAGCCACATGTTTTTAAGTTCTCTCCTGGAAAAAACAACAACCACCGGTATAATCCGGAACTTTCCGAAGTGTTTAAAGTTTGGACTCGCGCGTCCCACGCGTGAACATAAATGCTAATTCTAAATTACGACAGTTTCCGACACTCTCCCCCCATAAACCTTGCAGCGAGGTATATGTCCCTCAAAGGAGACTGGTCCAACCAAACAATACTAATAAAGGATAAAGTTCTATAAAAGTTCAGTGTTCAATTTGCACTATATAGTTTTCGTCAACGTTCTACTTCTGCTACTTCTTTAATGCGTTGTTGAGCTGCCACTGCAGCATCTCGTCTTGGTCGGAACGACGCAGCTTCCGGGTTTAAGTTGATAAGTTCCTTTGTTTCTGTACGGTCACAGGATAACTCGAGTGGATACAGGTGGTTCACTGCTCGTTCAAGGTAGGTTTTTCCTGCACGAAGTTTCACCGCACGAACAACACCATCACGTCCTTTGTACAGCTCGTCGACAATACCAAGAGGCCACTTTCCACGACTTCGTTCATCCGATTGTATAATAACCACGTCACCCTTTTTCACCGTGAACGACGACTTCTTGTAATTTTGGTTATGTCGCTCTCGTAGACCGCGCAGAGATTCCGTTGACCATCTCCGCCACATTGCTTGCTTGCACTTTAACAAATACCTTGCACGCTTGCGTAGATCCTTTTCTTGTATGTGATGTGCTTCCAGCTCTGGCGCAAATGTAGAACCAATGAACATCATGGAGTTAGGCGTTAGCGTTGGTAGCTGTACATCGTCTTCCATGTAGCTGAGTGGTCTTGTATTCAATGCTACTTCGATGTCTACGAGGACCTCCTTCAGCTCGTCCCAACTCAGCGACCCTTTGCCAATTGTTTTATGTAGAGCTCTTTTTACCAATCCGATTAAGCGCTCGAACTGGCCACCCCACCATGGGGCGCGACTCAGGTTGAACTGCCATCTTATTCGATTCTTGCTGAGCAATTCGTTTAACTTTTCATCGTTTTGAGCTGTTCGTAACCAGTTTGCTGCTGAAACAAACGTTTTTGCATTGTCAGAGTAGACTTTGCTTGGTCTCCCTTTCCTTGCGATGAATTTCTTAAAACTCTCGATAAACTTTCCTGTGTCTAAGCAGGGCATCAACTCGAGATATACCGCTCGCGTGAGGCTACAGGCATAGAGTAGTATGTATGCCTTTCCTTCTTCCTTCTTTTTCTTAATGTACTTAATAGGACCAGCAAAGTCCACGCCTATTGTTTCAAAGGGACGACTCCCTTCAGTTCTATCTGGTGGCAGCATACCAGGTGGTGGTTGTAGCACTGCTTTCGCTTGGAATCTACGACAACCGTAACACTTCTTGATTACTTTGCGTGCAAGTTGTCTAAGTCGTGGGACCCAGTACTGTTCTCGAATTCGGGCCATGGTCATCCCCACTCCCCCATGAAGGGTGCATAGATGGGCATCTTCCACCAACTTGGTCGTAAAGATGTGCTTGTCTGACATATAAACTGGATAATGACCTTGAATGCGTCCCCTGTACTCCAGGATACCTTGGGGGTTCTCTTGTAAATTGAGTCGCAGCTTATCGTCTTCGCTACCACAGCTCTGTTGTACTTTCTTTTCCCAAAATACATATTGCTGCTCGAGCTCATCAGTCGTTAGTGGTCCCAAAGTTCTACTATTGGGTTTTCTCAGGTTTGTTATGAACCTCGTAATCCACGCGCATATTCTCATGGATTTTCGTAATGCAAACTTCTCAAGGATGTGGTCAAAACAGTCCGAGTTATCTTGGGTCAATCCCAGCACGGTTTTGATCATCTTCGCTTCAGCTTCGCTTTCTTTGGTTGCACAGGTTACGATATTTTCTGGCCACATACGATTATCTTTAAGGCAATCTGGTCCATTTAACCACAGTTGGTTGTCTTTCACTTGGCCACCTCTGCTTCCCACATCAGCAGGATTGCAATCGGTCGGAACATAGCGCCACTGTATGTTAGGTTTTGACTGGATCTTTTGAATTCTATTGGCTACGAACTGTTTATGCTGTCCCCCGCCCTTTATCCAGTGTAGCGCCACTGTACTGTCGAGCCAACCATACGTTTCTTGCACAGGAAATCCATCCAGG